TGCCGCGGAGCAATTAAGCCCGTGCGCCACAGCTACTGAGCCTGCGCTCTAGAGCCCGTGAGCCACAGCTACTGAGCCCTCATGCCACACCTACTGAGCCCGTGCGCCACAACTACTGAAGCCCACGTGCCTGGAGCCCGTGCTCCGCAACAAGAGAAGCCACTGCACTGCGCACCGCAACGAAGAGTAGCCGCCGATCGCCACAACTAGAGAAAGCCCACGCGCAGCAACAAAGACCCAACGCAGCCAAAATAAATAAATTTAAAAAAATACATTTACACATTTTCCTCGTGTATGGAACAAAGAATGTGAATTTAACCATTTCTGATTTGAAGATTCTTCCTCCATTTGGTTATCAGTTTCTCATTATGATATTTTTTCAGGACTGCAGTTAACATGAAAACTCCATTCTGGATGTTTGAGCACCGACCATACTCCAGCCTCACACTCTCCTCTGTCCTTCCCCGCCCCAGCAGGTAGGATTTCTCACCCAGCCCCGCCACCTGACCATAATAAAAACTAAAACGAACCAAACTGCCTCGCTGTTGCCACTTTGGGCTGACCTGCACCTACTCTGTTCTCACCAGAAAATCCCACGACGTGAGTCACCAATGTTGTCACGTCTTTCCAGCGTGTGTGGCAGCATCTGTCCCAACATCCAAACCAATTTGGGGGGTTGGGGGTTGAGTCCACCTTCTTCTGCAGGGCAACCCCTGTGCAAGAACACCAAAACCAAGTTTTTAAGATCACAGAAAGAGGTATTAACCAAATGATGCACTTTTGAAAAGAATGATTCCGTTCATATTGATCAGGGGAGAAGCGGAAGTGTTTGAACAGAGCCCTCGAATCGGAGTGGCTGAACTGCATCTCTGGGCGGCTGGGTGACCGCTCCAGGAAGTCGTTCAGTGACCCACTGGTGGGTTAGCCGCACCTTCACACTCTGGGTGCAAAGGAGCCAGATTCATTGCTGCGTCTCCCTGCTGGAGAGGGAGGGGAGTGCAACTTACTTTTAAGGCAGTGAGGCATACCACTTCTGCCCACGCTCCACTGCTAAGTCACATCTGGCTAAGGGTTGCCGGTAAATGCAGTCTCTAGATGTCCAGATGAGTGACCCGGTACCCAGGTAAAACGTCTTGGGGGAGGGGCAAGGAGAGGGAGAGAAAGAAGGAAGAAAGGAGGGAGGAGGGGGGAGGGAGGAAAGAGAAAAGAGAGAGGGATGGGGGAGGGGCGGGGGGAGAGAGAGAATTTGAGAATGGATGAATGAATTGTGGAAGACAATTGGAGTCTACCAGCCATACCTTCCATTCAGGGATTTTCCCCCTCCCTAACCGAAACCCCGGAGAATTAACAGGGAATATTTAAGATCAGCTGTCCAACAGACTAACGGTAGCAGACGACGTTTAACTCCCAGAGCCCAATCACAATACACAGTTAGCAATATTACGGTGAAAATTTCTTACTTTGAGCAGCAAATATTTTCTTTTAAAATTTTATACAAGAGTAAATATTCATTCATATACGCACATCCTGGGTCTGAAAATACTTTGCTCCTCCATTTTGAACTCCAACTTGGGATTGCAAAAATATATCTTAAGAGGAAATGTTTAGGAGGACAGGCTGATCAGTGAAAGGGCCTTGGCAACATCTAAGCAGAGAGCCATCATAAAAGGAGGAGGATTGATGTTACTACCAACACACAAGGCTGTGCCTGTCCATCTCACAGTGGACCCTATGGAGAAGGGACGAAACTGATTTGATTCGAGACAAGACAGGAGAGGTGAAGGTTTGAGGGTGGGGCGGGAGGTGGGTAGAGGTGAAACAAGACTGGCATTGAGATGATAATTATTGATAAGAAGCTGCATGATGGAGACAGAGGCTTCCTCATACGATTTTGTTTAGTTTTGTTGATGTTTAAAAATTTCCATAAGAAGAAGTTATTGTTTTGCTTTGAAGAATGAACCACACACACTCATGCCAGCCTCAGTACTGTCTCTAGGGAACAGGCCTGTTCCCAGTCACGTGAGAAAACACCACTTGTGAAAACCATTAAAATGGTGCCTGACTTTATAATCTTGTGAAAAACGAAGTGAGAAAAGAGTCGGGTGAGATTTCTGATGATAGAACCAAAGATGAGTAAAGTCTGTTTATGTGTTTCACCTATCACTGGTCTGGTTTGGTAAAGCTCCAACAAAAGACACAGGGATATGCTGGGAAGGATGAAGGTCTTCAGTTAGATAACCGGGTTCATAAGGGCACAGTTTGGGCACACACTTTTCTACAGTTAAAAAAAATGCTGCTCTTAAAAAAAGGCTCAAGTCAGACACGACAGTTTTCATGAAAATCAATGTTTGCCAAGAAATCCAAAGGTCCGTTTGAGTTTGGTCAGTAGCTTCTGGCATAAGGTCTATTTCTACCTTAGAAAGGATGGAATCCATTCACAATATTCATATCAGACTAGATAGCTGACTAAAGTTTTCTTGCATAAATTCTCACTTTACCTTACTTTTAGAAATTCTGGCCTACGAAGTTCCAGCTTCAGTGAGAGATTGTCCCGGGGACTGGAAGAAACAGCACCACCATCTTTATAGCCCAAGACTTTGTGTGCTCTGCACAGAATTATTTTAAAGGCTGTCCATGAAGCATGATCGCAAGGTTTCTGAAACAGTGGTTTGATAGGTGCTAACTTTGGTAACAAGTTAAAAAATAATAACCAAGTAGAAGGGTACACTCCTCAATAAAAATAATAACGACGGAGAGAGGTAACAAATGACAAAGTTCTGTTTTCCTTTGGATCGTAGTGAGTCAGTAGGTACAGTTCTAAGTTTTCTACACAAGCTTCACATTCGTCCTCTTGGCTGTGTACATGTAGCCTAAGTTTCTAGGTAGCGATTTAAAATATGAAGTTGGTATATATATAAAAGCAAAATTCTATAAAAGTTATACGTCTTTTAACCTGGGGGGAAACGGAGGAAGGACCCTATCAAGTTTTCACCACTTATGAAAAAGGACATGTTGAACGTTATATAAGAAGAGCACTGAGCAAAATTACCCATAATTCCACTTGAAGTCTATTTTCCTTATCCAACAAACTGACCAAGGAATGTTTCTTGAACCCAAACTAAACTGAACCAAAAGTAATCCTTCTATGACCAAGTATGGTACTCAGTACAGCAAAATCCCATACACTTATGGGACACGTTACTCCAGAGGTAAAGTTACACATAATGTGCATCTGTAAGCCCTGGCTGAATAAGTAACTACAAAATGGACAATTTTTTTTTTGCAACTGTTAGTGGGTTAGCACGGTCACTTTAGTCAGTTAAACACATCCCAGAAGTTGTTTATTTGCAACGTTGAATCCATTTACAACACTCGGTGGGTTTTTCAAGGCCAGGCTACACTGGCATCGCTGTACGGCCAGCACCTAGCACCCTGCCTAACCACCCGTGATCAACACCCTGTTACTATTTGCTGAATCAAGACAGTGAAGTCCTGTGAGTCCATTCCTGATTACAGTCAGTTTTGCATGTCATAATTTTCCTTCATGCTCCAAAACCTCACTGATTTAACACATTATTTTTATACTACCTTAAAACTCATGCAAACAGAACCTTCCAGTACGTAAAATGAAAACTTACACACTGTTAGTGCTATATTACCGACTTTGGAGTCTTTACCCATTTTAGAACGTGGGCTATATAGAAATCCGCTTGTAATAACAACTGACAGCTGTGACAAAAATAAGCATATGATATTAAAAATAAATCAAATGATATATAGTACCATCATTATTCTGATACAGAATTTTTACACAGCAATATTGATACAGGTACAAATGACGGGATGTCAGGCAATCCATTACAACAGACCTTTGGGTTACAAATAAAGTTTAAATGATAATACCGATTTTAAAATGATAACTAGTGTTATGCCAGATTAAAATCAATACTTCCTCTTCAAGTGACATTTTCTAGAACATCTCTAACTAGGAGACTTTCATTAAAAAAAAAAAAAACTTTATAAAAAGGAAAAGAAATAAATGTAATATGGTACTGGAAAAGTCTTTTAAAAAAATCCCAAATCTAGAAACCTGGACTAAATTAATTTGACTTCCCAGTCTTTCTGTCCTCATACTGCTCAAACTGCAGACCTGAAATCCACTTGCATAAGCAGGTTCAGTTAAAGTTCAGAAGCACCCCTGCCTCCACTCCATATAAGAGAAGTTTGGGGGGTCTAGTTCAACTACACATTCTTTTCACTGTTTAAGTATCAGGCAAAAAGCTGGATTCTCATCAGTGATTCTGCCAGCAAGCTCAAGGATGTGGATCCCCACTTTAAAATGCTAGAGGCTCAGAGGGAAATACCAAACAATAAAATGAGAGTCTTAAAACTCACTGAGGAGTGAGGGAAAGA